GAAAGAAACCCTCTCTACTAAAAATACAAAAAATTAGCCAGGCATGGTGGTGGGCAACTGTAATCTCAGCTACTCAGGAGGCTGAGGCAGGAGAATCCTTGAACCCGAAAGGCAGAGGCTGCAGTGAGCAGAGATCGCGCCACTGCACTAAAGCTTGGTTGACAGAGTGAGACTCCATCACAAAACAAAACAACAGGGAAGTGCGATCATCTCCCTGTTTGGCATATGGGGAAATCAAGGCCCCAAGAGAGGAAATGGGGGGGAGGATTTTGCCTGCCTGTGTCCTCTGACTCCTAAACAGCACTAGGCAAAGAGCTGGCCACACGGCAGGTGATCGATCCACAGGTGAAAAAACACTGAATGAACACAGGGGTCACATCAGCTCCCATCCGAGCCTCTGGGCCTCCAAGGCACATCCCAGCAAAATGTCCCCCAAATGTTCCCTCTGAACCCAGTTCCCACCACCCTCTTTCCTAAGTTAGTGGAGAGTGGGAAAGGGCTTAATCCCAGCCCCTCATGGCCCATCAGCGCCCACTGCTGCCCTGCACCCACAGGGTGCCAGACGTCTCACCAGTGTCTCAGGTGAACTGCCACATTTAATCCTCCAAACACCGGTAAGAAAAGGGCCAGTTCTCCCAGGAAACTGGGGCACAGGTTACACAATTTGCCAGGGTCTGAACCCAATTAGCTGGAATCCGGAGTATCCGGCTCTTAATCCTCAAACTGCCTTCAGGAGGAAGCTGAGTGGCAAGCGGCTGAACGAGGCTTGCTCTACCGCCTCTCAGATTCCGAAAGCCAAGGCCCTCGTTGCAAAATGCACTGCCGCTCACGTGAACCAGAGCAAAATGCCCTTTCACAAGAGGAAAAAGCGTCTCTTTCATTCACTCTGCTTGGCTGGACCACAGCCGGAGGCAAAGTGCCCCGAAACTGTCACTGGAGCTCCCATGCACGTGAGACAGGGGTGACTTCAAGAGATCTTTGGGCTGGCGGCATGGTACAGTGTGGCCCGTGTTATGACTCACTCCACAAACATTTACTGAGACGGATTGTTCGCAGGGCATTGTTCTAATGCTGAGGATACAATCGTAAACAAAACAGACTGGGCAGTTCACTCCTGTAAGCCCAGCACTTTGGGAGGCTGAGGCAGGAGGATCACTTGAGCTCAGGACTTTCAGACCAGCCTGGATCATATAGTGAGACCTCATCTCTACAAAAAATTTAAAAATCACCGGGGCATGGTGTCTCACGCCTGCAAGTCCCAGCTACTAAGGTGGCTGAAGTGGGAGGACTGCTTAAATCCAGGCTGCAGTGAGCTGTGATTATGCCACTGCAATCCAGCCTGGGCGACAGAGTGAGACCCTGTCTTAAAACAAAGGCCGGGCGCGGTGGCTCAAGCCTGTAATCCCAGCACTTTGGGAGGCCGAGGCGGGTGGATCACGAGGTCAAGAGATTGAGACCATCCTGGTCAACATGGTGAAACCCCGTCTCTACTAAAAATACAAAACATTAGCTGGGCATGGTGGCACGTGCCTGTAATCTGAGCTACTCAGGAGGCTGAGGCAGGAGAATTGCCTGAACCCAGGAGGCGGAGGTTGCGGTGAGCCGAGATCGCGCCATTGCACTCCAGCCTGGGTAACAAGAGCGAAACTCCGTCTCGGAAAAAAAAAAAAAAAAAAAAAAAAAAAAACAAGGCCAGGTGTAGTGGCTCACACCTGTAACCCCAGAACCTTGGGAGGCTGAGGCGGGTGGATGACTTGAGGTCAGGAGTTCAAGATCAGCCTGACCAACACAGGGAAACCCCATGTCTACCAGAAAATACAAAAATTAGCAGGGCGTGGTGGTATGTGCCTGTAATTTCAGGTTCCTGGGAGGCTGAGATGGAAGAATCATTTGAACTTAGGAAGCGGAGGTTGCAGTGAGCCGAGACTGCACCACTGCACTCCAGCCTGGGCAACATAGTGAGACCCTGTCTTAAAAACAAAACACACAAATAACAACAACAACAACAAAGTCCACAAGATCCCTGACCTCCTGGAACTTATATTTCAGACAGAGCTACTAATAATAAAGATTAACAGGCAAAATGTAGACAAAGGTTTTAGATACCAATTAAGTACTGAGGAGAAAAACCTGAGAATGGGGATAGGCAGTGCTGGGGTGGAGAGTGAAATTTTAGATAGGGCGATGAGCAAAGTCTCACCAAGAAATTGACCTTAAATAAATACCTGAAGGAGAGAGATTAAAGTGATACAAATATCTGGGAGAAGAGCTTTTTAGGCAGAGGAAAGAGCAAGTGCAAAGGCCCTGGGGCTGGAACATGTTCAGCGAGTTCCAGGAAGAGCCAGGAAGGCAACAGGGGGCCAGGCGTGTGCCACAAGAGGAGAGGCCACTGCAGGGCTTGGAACAAAGAAACCACATTTTTTTCTTTTTTGAGACGGAGTCTCACCCTGGTTGCCCATGCTGGAGTGCAATGGCACAATCTCAGCTCACCGCAACCTCCACCTCCCAGGTTCAAGTGATTCTCCTGCCTCAGCCTCCCGAGTAGCTGGGATTACAGGCATGTACCACCACACCCGGCTAATTTTGTATCTTTAGTAGAGACAGGGTTTCCTCATGTTGGTCGGGCTGGTCTTGAACTCCTGACCTCAGGTGAGCTGCCCACCTCCGCCTCCCAAAGTGTTGGGATTATAGGCATGAGCCACCACACCCAGCCAAGACAACATTTTAACAAGACCGCACTGGCTAGATGTGAGGTAAGAAACAGAGAGGCCTCACAGATAATCTCACTGCTTTGACTTGAGCAACTGAATGAATAATACTCCCATTTCCTAAGATGAGAAAGCAAGTGGGAGGAGCATAAATAAATAAATACTTGAAGTTGGAAATGCCTAAGTTTGAGGTGCTGAGTAAGCAATTAGATATTGGAGTCTATCATTCCAGGGAAAGGCCTGGACTGGACTAGGATATAAATTTGTGGCCTGACAGAATAGAGACGGCACTTAAAGCCGTGAGACTGGATGAGATCACCATCCGAAAATGCCAAGAGACATGTAAGACCTGACCCTATTAAAATCCACTGTGAAAGACACAGAACATGTTCTCCCAAGGAGCCACCCTCTACTCAGTGAAGCTTTTTTTTTTTTTTTTTGGAGACAGAGTCTTGCTCTGTCACCCAGACTGGAGTGCAATGGCATGATCTCAGCTCAATGAAACCTGCTGCCCAAGTTCAAGCAATTCTCCTACCTCAGCCTCCCAAGTAGCTGGGATTCCAGGTGCATGCCACCAGGCCTGGCTAACTTTTTGTGTTTTAGTAGAGACAGCATGTCACCGTGTTGCCCAGGCTGGTCTCGAACTTCTGAGCTCAGGAAATCTGCCCGCCTCAGCCTCCCAAAGTGCTGGGATTACAGGCATGAGCCACCACACCTGGCCCAAAGTGAAGCTTATAGCACACTCTTCACTATAAAGCCCTTGCCCCTTGCCTACCTACTTCCCCCAGCACAGACCCAATAGATGTGTGCAGACACACACACATGCACACGCACACACACAGAGTATTTAAATTCCTCCTTTCTGTATCTCTTAGTGATGTCATTCTGCTGAGTCAGAGGAAAACTCCCTTTTGGGGATGCTATCATGTAACAAGAAAGTAACCCACGGAAAGGAGAAAAGGCGTCCTAAGCACTGAGACAACAGTAGCAAACCTTACGCATCAGGGTGATCACACAGGCTCTGGTGCCAGATTCCAGCTTCAACGTCATCAGTCATTCACCCTCTTTTTCTCATGTGCAGTGAGAATAACACTGACTACACTAAGAGTAGCCCTAGAACAGCAGACAGTCCAAAAATAGTTGTTGGACAAATGATGAGTGAATGAATGCTAAAGATAACATATACAGAAGAGCCTGACTCACGGGGAGTGATCAACAAACACTGCCAAATGATGCACTGAAAGACAAGGGACCTCCTGCTCACCCTTCTCTCCTTGTCTTCTCATTCCCTTTCCCTTTCCATTCTTCTCAATCCTGCCTATGACCCAACAGTAAAATCATGCCTTTGTTCAGGGCCATACTGGTTATAAAGCTTTGCCTTCTACATTTTCTCACTCAAATTGTGAACCTCATGGCAGCCTTATGAGGGCAGGAAGTACAATCCCCTGTCACAGATGAGGAAACTGAGACTTGGACGGAAAACAGCTTCCAAACTCCAGGCAGAAACAGTAACAAAAACAATGCATTCAAACACAATGCATTCGGCCCAAGGGTGGAGACTCAATGTTGCCAAACCAAACCTGCCTGACATCCTGCTGGGTGGGTAAGAGGCAGGTGAGGGAAAGACCCAGAAGCCAGGGGAGGTTATTTGTTTGGAGTCATGTGGGTAGCCCATTAAACCTATGGCCACAGATCCCCTTGCCCTGTGTCCTCCCGGACCCACACCCACAGGCTTGCCCCTGGCCCAGTCACATGATCACCCGGGTCACATGCTCCCCGTCACCAGCTTCCAAGTCATCCGTGGAAGCAGGAGGTGGACAAATGACGGGATGGTGGCCAGGCTGAGGGGAAGGAGGGAGCATGTCGGGGGCAGATCTGGAGGCACGCGAAGAGGAAGGGCAGGGAGGAAAGGCAGGAGAAGCGGGGAGTGAGAAACGGGTACAGAGGCACCACGAGGTGGAATGCAGAAGGAGGCGGAGGTGAAGTGGGGAGTCAAGTGAGAGCTTAGAGGAGCACAGGAAGGAGGGCGACCAATGGGCCCAAAGAGGCACTGAGAGGCGGGGAAAGAGGAGAGACGGGTTGACTCGGGAAGTTAGGGATACTGAGGGAGACACACGGAAGAGACCAGGGTACAGGGGAGGAACTCAGGGTCGAAGCTCCGGTCCCTGGGGTCCACAAGTTCGAGATGAAGACAAGGGCGGTCTCGGGATGGGAGTTGGGGACGCTGAGGGGATGAAAAGAGGGAAGCTGCAGGCACTTAGGGAGTCACATAAGGGTCAATGGAGGACATGCCTCAGAATCGGCGACACGAGGAGGATCCAAAGGACGGCCCGGCGGAGACGTCGGAGTCCGCGACGCCGAGGAGGTTGGGGAAGCGAACCCAGGCCCCGCCCACCTGCGAGGTCACTCACCTCGGCTGACTCAGCACTTGTACTTCCTCCTACTTCCGGAAACAAATAGGCCTCGGGTCACGTGACGGCTTGACCGCCGCTCTCCGCCAATCACTGGTGGCCCTGCCCCAGGCCTCCGCTAGGCTCCGCCCCCCCGCCCGAGAACGGCGGGAGGCGGGGGGTCCGCCATTTTTTTTAACTGTCCAATGGAAAGGGCTTCCTTAGCTAGGGAGGACGAGCTTTCGGCAGGAGCCAATCCTCGGCGGCGAGGTGCGGCCATGTCTGTGCCGGGCGGAAGATGCGCGTGGCGGCTCCTTGGCAGTCATGTTGATGAGGGGCAGGAGTCTCACCTGAGTCCGCCTTCCGCCTCTTAAAGCGGCGACAGCCTGGAGTCTGAAGTTACTATTAATGATTGCTCGTAAAGATAAAAATAAAGGCAACAGTGGCATAGGGCATAACAAGGAGGAGCCTGTTTTGATTTTGCCAGGTAGCCTCAAGCCAGGGTTGCCAGATGTAGCATATAAAAAATACAAGATGTTCAGTTAAATTTGAATTTCAGCTAAATAGACAAGTTTTTTTTCCCCTGTAGAACAGAAATTGATCAGAGCTTTTTTATTTTCACAACTAAGGCCAAACTCCCTAGGGAATTACCACATAGGTCTTTTTTTATTTCTGTTTGAGAAAGTCTCGCTCTGTCTCCCAGGCTGGAGTACAATGGCATTATCTCAGCTCACTGCAACCTCCACCTCCCAGATTCAAGTGATTCTCCTGCCTCGGCCTCCCAAGTAGCTGGGCTTACAGGCATGCACCACCACAGCCAGCTAATTTTTGTATTTTTAGTAGAGACGGGGTTTCACCGTGTTGGCCAGGCTGATCTTGAACTCCTGACCTCAAGTGATCTGCCCATCTCGGCCTCCCAAAGTGCTGGGATTATGGGTATGAGCCACCACGCCAGGCTGCTAAATTTTTAATGTAAGCAAAATATACTAAGTTTAGTATCGTGCTAGAAATGTATGCATTGTTGTCTGGCAACCCATCCTGAGCCAATCTCAGGAAATACCTTAGCACTTTCAGTAGGAACTTGGGCAAATGATCTTTGTGAACCTCAGACCCATCATCCAAGAAGTGGGCACCGTAATACAAGGGTGTTGTGCCATCTAGAAGTAAATTAGTCCCCATTCGTGCACATGGTGGGATTTCAATAAATGGCAGTTGTTAGGGTTAATAATGCCGATAATGACGTATGTTGGAGAGAAGCCAGGAGGCTAGACTTTAGTCCCACATCTGCATCGGGCCGACCAGGTCATATCCTCTCTTTAGCCCACCGGCTTGGTTGCGCCTTTTCTCTCCCTAATAATCCCCCAACCCAACCAGGCGTGGTGGCTCACGCCTGTAATCCCACCACTTTGGGAGGCCGAAGCAGGCAGATCACGAGGTCAGAAGATCGAAACCATCCTGGCTAACATGGTGAAAGTCCATCTCTACTAAAAATACAAAATATTAGCCAGGCGTGGTGGCATGTGCCTGTAGTCCCAGCTACTCGGGAGGCTGAGGCAGGAGAATCGCTTGAACCCAGGAGGCGGAGGTTACAGTGAGCAGGAATCATGTCACTGCATTCCAGCCTGGGTGACAGAGGGAGACTCCACCTCAAATAATAATAATAATAATAATCACCCAACCCTAGATGAATCTGCCAGACTGCTCTCTGTTTATGTGGGAAGTCTAGTTGCTGGTGTTATTCTTGTGGAATGAAGTGTGTAGGTGTGGTGACTCACATCTATATGCCCAGCACTTTGGGAGGCTGAGGTTTGGGAGGCTGAGGCAGGTCAATCACTTGAGGTTAGGAGTTTGAGACCAGCCTGGCCAACATGGTGAAACCCTGTCTCTACTAAAAATACAAATAATTAGCTCGGTGTGGTGGCCATAGCCTGTGATCACAGCTGCTCAGGAGGCTGAGGCAGGAGGATCACTTGAACCAGGGAGGCAGAGGTTGCAGTGAGCCGGGATCGTGCAACTGCACTCCAGCCTGGGTGACAGAGTGAGACTCTGTCTCAAAAACAAGTGTTTTCTCCTCAGTCCATCTAATGATATTAGTGCCTAGACCTGGCAGCCAATGAAACTTGTACAAGGTTTAGTTAAGGATCTTCACAGGTTAATGAAATTAACCATCTTAACATCCTCCTGTTCCCCATTTTACAGGTGAGGAAACTGTTCCTTAAAGTAAGATTTAAAATTTGCTTCAGAGTTTCAGCTGGGCCAGGCCCCGTGGCTCACACTTGTAATCCAAGCACTTTGGGAGGCCAAGGAGGGAGGATCATTTGAGATCAGGAGTTTGAGACCAGCCTGATTAACATGGTGAAACCTTGTCTCTACTAAAAATACAAAATTAGCCAGGCGGGGTGGCACATGCCTGTAATTACAGCTACTCAGGAGGCTAAGGCAGGAGAATTGCTTGAACACGGGAGGCAGAGGTTGCAGTGAGCCAAGATCGCACAATTGTACTCCAACCTGGGCAATAAGAGCGACACTCCGTCTCAAAAAAAAAAAAAAAAAAAAAAAAAAAAGAGTTTCAGCTTGGCTGGGCATGGTGGCTCCAACTGTAATCCCAACACTTGTGAGGCTGAGGTGGGCAAATTACTTGAGCTCAGGAGTTCAAGACCGGCTTGTGTAACATGGAAAAACCTCATATTTACAGAAAATATAGAAATTATCCAGATGTGGTAGTGCATGCCTTTGGTCCCAGCTACTGTGAAGGGGAGGCCAGGGGGTGGAGGATATAGTGAGCCAAGATCACCAGCACTCCAGCCTGGGTGACAGAGCAAGACCATGTTTCAAAAAAAGAGAGTTTTAGTTTGAAGTGGAGAGAAAAGGATAAAGACTCGGAATTCTCAATGAAAATACCTTGCCCTCCATACCCCAAACAAGCAAAATTAGAGAGATGGTTATCAGGGAGCTTGCAAAAGGCCATGCATTCCACCCACTGCCAAGCAATCTTTCCTGAGAAAACCCACAAGGGCAACATGAGGTGTCCAGTTCTTCAACAAACACCGACCCTTGCATTCAGGATTATGCAAAGCACGTTTGGAAATGCAGACACACAGGTGAATCTCAAATGTGGAAAAGGGAAAAGGGCTGGGCAGGGTGGCTCACACCTGTAATCACAACACTTTGGGAGGCCAAGGCGGGTGGATGACCTGAGGTCAGGAGTTCGAAATTAGTCTGACCAACATGGTGAAACCCCGTCTCTACTAAAAATACAAAAAATAAAAAATAGCCGGGCATGGTGGCAGGCACCTGTAATCCCAGCTACTGGGAAGGCTGAGGCAGGAGGATCACTTGAAAGCAGGAGGTGGAGGTTGCAGTGAGCCAAGATTGCACCACTGCACGCCAGCCTGGGGGACAGAGCAAGACTCTGTCTCATAAAATAAACACATTTTAAGAAGGAAAGTAAAATGCGGAAAAGGTCAAGGGAGGTTGGTTGGATTCATTGTTGGAAACACTTAAAGATCCATGGAAGACATTCACAAAACAGAATCTCAGTACCTGACGAAGTTAAATATCCCTTCCCTAGGTATTTCTGGTGGAAACTATTTAATGAGTAGATAAATCAAAAGATGAAATAGAGGGAATTATTAGGTAGAACTGAATGAGCAAGTAAAGGGATGGGGCAGGTAAGCACGAGGGAGTGTGTCCTGTAGTGCTAGCGGATGCAGCTGTGCAGTTAAAGTCAAAGAACTTCTCTTGAGGTGCTGTGCTAGGTTCCTCCCGTACAACTTCAGGAAGCAGGGTGTCTGCCCTCTAAGAGCTCAGAGCACAGAGGATCAGATTCAACTAATCCCTTCCTTCAAGGAGCTAGATGAATATGTAACTAACATGCTAACGGTGCAATTTTGTACTTCCTTTTTTTTTTTTTTCCCAGAGATAGGGTCTCACTCTGTCACCCAAGCTGGAGTGCAGTGGCATGATCTTAGCTCACTGCAACCTCCATCCACCTCCCGGGTTCTAAGTGATTCTCCCGCCTCAGCCTCCAGAGAAGCTGCATTAAAGGCGCATGCCACCACGCCTGGCTAATTTTTGCATTTTTAGTAGAGACGGGATTTCACCATGTGGGCCAGGCTGGTCTCGAACTCCTGACCTCAGGTGATCTGCCCGCCTCTGCCTCCCAAGTGCTGGGATCACAGGCGTGAGCCGCTGTGCCGGGCTGACATCTTACTTTTTGATACTTGCAACAGCCCTGTGATATACTACTGTCATCCCCACTTTGTAGATGAAGAGACTGAGTTTCCACAGGGGAAAGTTATCCCCAGAGTTGCCAATGAGAGGCGGTGCCAGTTGCCAGAGTCAGTGAGAGGCAGCACCAGAATCAGCACCTGTCTTGTCTTTCCTGTCTCCAAACTCTAGAAGCACCCATTATGTGCCAGGCGATGCTGTTGGTGCTAAGGAAACTGCAGTGAACAAAACAGACCAAAATCCCTGCCTCTGTGCTGCTCACATCCTGGTGGGAAAGGCAGACACTAAACAAGATAGAGAGGGAGATACAGAGCGTGTTCAGCAAATGTCTTTGAGTGAGGTGTCATGACGTCCGCGTCGTACACTCAGAACACCTTAAGTGTGGAATCTGGGGCTGTGAAGTTGAATGCCTTTGCACTAGTCCTTCCATTATCTGTGTGTTTGAACTTTTTTTTTTTTTTTTCCAGACAGGGTCTAGCTCTGTCACCCAGGCTGGAGTGCAGTGGGGTGACCTTGGCTGACTGCAACCTCCATGTCCTGGGCTCAAGCGATCCTCCCACCTCAGTCTTCTGACTAACTGGGACTACAGGTTCAGGCCACCATGCCTGCATAATTTTTTTTTCTTTTGGTAGAGTCTGGGTTTTGCCCTGTTGTCTAGGCTGGTCTCGAACTACTGGCCTCAAGCAATCTGCCTGCCTCGGCCTCCCAAAGTGCTGGGATTCGAGGCATGAACCACCGTGCTTGGCCTGAACATTTTTATAATTAAAAGGTTGGAGGAGGCTGGGTGCGGTGGCTCACACCTGTAATCCCAGCACTTTGGGAGGCCGAGGC